CCCCCCCCCAATCATGTTCTTTCCACTGGTTATTTTCTTGTTTATTGCTTGATCACACAGGATCCTCCTAAGGTTCACTATCAAGGTAAAAATTCCAAGGCTCACATTCTTCACACAGTGAGCCTCACTACTGACCCGCCAAATGGCCCTCCTGAAATCCTCAATACAATCACTGGATATTTTCCAATTACTCTCTCCCATGGGCTTTGCATCCACCCTCTCCCCCCTCAATTTCTCAAATTACAATCGCCTATTTCATTATAATGCCATACTCCTAAAACCCAGAGGGTTCTGCAGACTTGAAACTCTGAAGGCAGGTACAGACTGTTGGTACAGGTCCACACCGGACACTGTAATACTACCATTTCCTACCCAGGGGATAGAAGAGAGTAATCAACACAGTCCTTAAATGTGAGAACTTAAGATGGAGTTGGGAAAACAATAATGACTTCCACAAGACCAGGAAAGTATCAATAAAGACATGGTCAGGAGCCATGGAAACTCTGAAAACTCTAGGTGCACTGGGAGTTGAGAACGTGATGGAGCTCATGGGGAGTGAGATAAAGGATTCAGACTACAAGGGGATGGTTTCCCATGAGAAGCAAGATCCTGAAAGAAATGAACTATTTGGACAGGTGAAGAACCAGCCATCTTAGGTGAGGGGAGCAGCATGAAGAGCGGCAGAGAGGAAGGAAGTAGCCCTGCATGCAGAGAAGATGGGGGAGAACCTGGCATGGCTGGGGCAGAGCACACACGTAGGGAAGGCAGAGGGGAGAGGACTGGAGAAGGGGAGTGAGGCATAACTGCAGATGGCCCTGTGACTTGGGTGGGTTTCTTCCTACTATGCAACTTCTGATGCTGAATGAAACTTGCACTCCATTTGAAGGTTTTCCCACACACCTTACACTCATAAGGCTTCTCCCCAGTGTGAACTCGCTGATGCTGAACCAGGGTGATTTTCTGATTGAACGCCTTCCCACACTCCTGGCATTCATACGGTTTCTCCCCGGTGTGGATTCTCTGATGTACAATAAAGCGGGAGCTACAACTGAAAGTTTTCCAACATTCACTGCATTTATAGAGTTTCTCCCCAGTGTGGAACCTCTGGTGCTGGAGAAACACTGAACTCCGGCGGAAGGCCTTGCCGCACTCCTTACATTCATAGGGTTTCTCTCCAGTGTGGATTCTCTGGTGCTGAATCAGGACTGAATTTGAACTGAAACTTTTCCCACACTCCTTACATTCATAGGGCTTCTCCCCAGTGTGAACTCGCTCATGGACAAAGCAGTCATAGCTACACCTGAAAGCCTTCCCACAGTCCTTACATTTAAAGGGTTTCTCCCCTGTGTGGATTCGCTGGTGCCGAATAAGTTTTGAGTTGTAGCTGAAGGTTTTCCCACAGTCCTTACACTCATAGGGCTTCTCTCCACCATGGAGTTTCTGATGCTGAAGGAGGTGGGAATTCTGACTGAAGGCTTGTCCACATTCCTGACATGAGTATGGTTTCTCCCCAGTGTGGACTTTCTGGTGCCGTGACAGTTTTGAGTTATATCTGAAGGCTTTCCCACATTCTTTGCATTTGTAGGGCTTCTCATCAGTGTGAATTCCCTGATGCTGGTGAAGGTCTGAATGTGGACTGAAACATCTGCCACATTCACCACGTTTATCACACACCTGTTCTCTGGGGAGGCCCTGCAGTGTAACGAGATGCGTGCTGACACCACTGCTTCCGTCCCATTTCCTGGCTGTCCCTTCTCTGTCAGTGGTGGAGCTTTTTTGTTCCTGGGCTGTCAAATCCATGGAATCTCTCTTCTTTGAGTCTGTTTTCTTCTCCATGTCATACAGCAGGGGCTTCTCTAAACCGTCCTTTAAGTGGGGTTGCTGGGGAGCAGCCACCGGCTGCATCTCTGCCCTCAGCCTGGGGGACTCGGGCTCTTTAGGAATGTTCAGCTTTGGAGTTTGCTCACCCTCGGTCTTGGTTTTAGCACCCAGCGTGGTGAAGGGAACGTGAGAAGCACCTGCCTGCGCTAGAAGAAGAGAAGGGTTACGCGCTCTCAGCCCCACATACACACTTCCAGAGAGGGGCAGGGACACTGGGCGGTTCCCAGGGAAAGTAAACACACAGGAGGTGGGGAAGGTGGGCAGTGCCACTAGGCAACAAAAACAGTGCCGACAGCAGAAGCTGTCAATTGACACCAATGGATAAAGAAAAATGGAAATGGGACGAAGAAATTGCAGGGACAGGAAGCACCGAAGAAAAGCAGGGGGAGCTGAAGGGGAGGCAAGATCTCTAAACGAGGAGAGATTGCTGGGCGAGCAGACCTAGCACCACACGATGTCCTGAGGGCGGGGAGATGCTGTCTGCAACAGTGGGTCCCATGCCCAGTCCAGGCACAAAAGCTGTCCTTACTTCACAATAGTCTGTAATCCGTAGAGAGATGTTCTCTATCACAAGCCCAACTGAACTGTGAGAACACGGTCCGTAACTGCTGAGTTCACAGAAGGACCCCTATTTCAAACCTGTAAACTGCACTCTGCGAGAGAGACTTATCTCTGAAAAGGAAACACGCCTGGCCAAGACCCTTCCAGGACTGGAGATGGCAACTGGGGGGGTTGGGGGAAACCACAGGCGTTCACTGGTGGCACCACAACGTTGAAACCTTTTCAAGCATCAAAAATTTGATCAATGAGATTTCCAGCTTAGTGTTTCTCAAGAATCTCTTCTTGAGATTCTCAAGAAGAGTGGTTCTCCAAGTGTGGTCCCTGGTCATCACCTGGGAACTTGTCAGAAATGCACATTCTCGGGCCCCACACCAGTCCTGCTGAGTTAGAATCTCTGCAGGTGGCATCCAGCGGTCTGTTTCAAAGCCTCGCAAGTGTCTCTGATGCCCACTAGAGTTTGAAACCCACTGATCTAGAACTAAAAAGGCAGCTGAAGGCTGTTAACTGAGTAAGGATGCACTGACCAATAAGGTGGTCACTAGCCACATGTGGCAATTTAAATTGAAATTAATTAAAATGGAACAAAATTAAAAAGTCAGCTCCTCAGTTGCACCAGCCACATTTCGAGTGCTCGTGGGGCTCAGGGCCACCATATCAGACAGCACAGTTACACATCACTTCTGTCACTGTAGACAGTTCTACTGGGCAATGCTGGATAAAGCCTTGGGCAGGCTAACCAGACCACGCGCAGCTGTGGCAAAGGGAAACACAGACGACTGTAGGCAGGCTGCTGGGAAAGGTTTTTCATCCAGATGACCTGAAGTGCTGGAGCCCACCTAAGGCACAGATTAAGACGTGTGTGTGTGTGTGTGCGCACACATGTATGTGTGTATGGTGAATGAGACCGGTTTACAGAGGCTCTAAATAGCATCAGGTCTTGAGAGAGCACGAGAACAGAGCCCAATGAATGAGAAAGGCTATCCATCACATCTCCAGATGGCCCTTTACATTGACTTCATTTGAATATCTTTCAAAAAAGGGAAACCATTCATTTCCAATAAATAAGCATGCTTTCTTTCAAAAGCTAATTTATAATTTAGTGTTTAGGAATTAATAAAAAGTCCATTCTTCTATACACTTTCACATAATGCGCACACACGTGTGAAATGTTCTCACAGAAACAAGTTCTTACCATATTGTGTTTATGTTCCTGCCCTGACCCACAGAAGCTTGTTTTCACCAAGTGTATGAAATCCTTTAGCTTTCCAAAAAAAGAAAAAAGAAAATGAAATCTTTGGACTGGTCTTCTCCAGTCTGGGGCTGAAGCCCTAGCGAGGGGCACGTTTCTGAGTAACAGCCATTTCCATCCCCACAACAGCCATGTGACAGAAGAAAAACCTGTTTCATGTTAAATCGCTAAAAGATGGGAGGCGGCAAAGCTGGAGAGGAAGGTGGGGCTTCTCCCGCTTACCTGTGCAGACGCCTCTCCGGGCCTCACCCCCCAGGGCTGTCCAGGGATCCAGGCCCCATGGTGCGCCCCCTCGCTCCAGCTGGAATATCAGATCTGGTTTGGGAAATGGAAATGCCGCTGAAGGAGAAAGCAAAGGAACAGGAAGCTGAGGAGAGGCCCTCCTGACCCCTCTAACTCCACCCTCTGCTTTGCCAGGTAAAAAAAGAAGGGCCTGTCCCAGGAGACAGAGGTCAGTGTGGGGAGAGCCTGGGGCTCTAAGGCTCAAATTGTTTTGCTCAGGAGGCAGCTTATTCCCGCTCTATCTGGAAGGATAGAAAACTCCCACCATTGTTGCAGGTGTAAAGAGGGGGCCCAAGGGGACCCTCACACAGAGCAGGTGGGGCCAAGGTCTCCTCCGGGAGCTGGAAGAGTGGAGGAATGCGGGTGGGTGACCGGGAACCTTCTCAGCTCTCTGTGCCCAGAGCAACGCCCCTCTCAGGACAGCACCCACCAGGAAACAGGGGAGTCCTGTTTAAACCCAAGTGAACCTAGATCTTTCTCCATCAGCTACTCCTGCAACTGGAGAGTGGAGAGCTCAGCGCAAGGAGCATTACGCCCGCCGGTATCGGAGGTTCCAGGCTGCCTGGGGAGGAAGCCACAAGCCCTGTGGGCAGACGCTGAGTCTCAGGGAGGAAGCGGGACTCACCCAGGGCAGCCACACTCGCATAGTTCTCTAGCATCACCTCCCTGTACAGGGCCCTCTGCACAGGGTCCAGGCTGGCCCACTGGCTCTGAGTGAAGTACACGGCCACGTCCTCAAAGGTCACTGACTCCTGACACGACGGGTTCCTGCTCAAGCCCTGTGTAAGGACAGAGGAGGGGCCTGAACTCCAGGGAAGGGACAAATCTACTGGAGTCCAGGGCTCTGAGCCCCATGGATGGTTTGTACCGGCAAAGAGAGCCACACGGCACCCCAGTCAGAGGCAGTCCTCAGCCAGCATTCCCATTTTCAGGGTGCACGCTTCTGGGGCCCCAACACTGTCATCCCGGGCACACAACCCAGCACCTGCTCTTGTCTTCCCGGGATCACAGTCGACCCTGTGTCAGGTTCCATGAGCGGGGAATATCTTTCTGGCATCTTTTCAAAAGTGCGCCCATCAGGTGTCTGCCCTTCACCCTGCCCCCATCCATCCTGAAGCCCCCATCAGGCCCCACTCAGCTTCTCTCTGGTCTTCCCCCTCCGGGGCGATCCCACGGGCACAGAGCTCCTTTCACTCCGTGGGGAATATGGGAAGCGGGAAGCTCAGCTCACCTGGAACCACACTGTCTGGAGCATGGCCGCCGACCCCGGGCCTCATGCACTGCGCCCTCTGTTTAGAAAAGCGAGGTCCTGCAGAGCTAGGAGGAGAGAGAACCACAGAGGCGGGGCCTGTCTTGTTTCCCACGCTCGCTTTTCCCCCCTCAGTCCCTGGAGACATATCCTTAGGGCAGTCTCCATATTCTCAGTGCGCCTTCTAGCGACGCCTGGGGTGCGGCCACTGCTCCCTCTGCACACGCTACGAATTTGCCTGGTGAGGCTGGAAATTCCTGGAAAGCGCGTGAAGCAAGAGTCAAGAGCTGCAGTAGATTCGTGGCTTTTAAGAAAATCCCTGGCCCACGACGAATGGACTCCGAGGCCGCTCGCACTGCAGGTTCGCAGGGGCCGCAGCCAAGGCCCGCGGGGCTCCCGGGGAGGAGGGCGCGTACCGGGCCCGGACAGCCGCCCGCTGCCAGCGTTCTGGCCAGGACGGGTGGGGCGGGGAAAGGGTAAGATGCTCCAAGTGCAGCGGACGAGGCTGATGGAGACCCGACGGGGCCTGGAAACTCCAGCCCGAGA